AAATCTGAAAATAAAAGGGTTATCACAATTTTTGCCCGAAAGTTTAAGGTCTATGACAGCTTACGTGTTAATTTAAATAGGAAAAGACATTTTGACATCTATCTACTCGTATTAACAATATATCTACTCAGCACTTCACCTGATTGCTGGCCGGGTGGAGAGATCACTGGACAATGAAGAGTACGCCTTGGGTGTCTTCATAGACAAGACCACCTTCTCTACGATAATACACTTAATAGCCAAGATAAATATTCCACATATAGTTAGTATATGGATACATAACGTGCTCTCAAAACAAGCAATTAATATGAGAAATATGTAAACATGCGAGGCTTGTTTAGGAGGGGGTGTCCACAGAAAGGTGTACTATCACCACTAGGGACTATGGAAATATTGATAACTTAATTATTCTACAAGCAGGGAATATACTCTGCGGAAGTAGGACCATTCACTGCCTATCAATCCCATCCTTATCACAAAAAAAGAAGGTAATGGAACTAAGATCTCTTAAAAACAAAATTAAACTTTTTAACAGAAATTAACTTAAGACCTAAAAGACAGAGTCAATAAATTATATATTTCTTATGAACAAGGTAGCCGAACCATGGGTCACACCTGGTGCAGTTGTCTGGGTACCAAAAATTCAACAATTGACAACTATCCACAAACTACACACAAATATAAAGAATAACATATCTCACCATAACAGGGGCCATGAAAGCCACACCAACCAGAGCTATGAAAATCAGTCTAATTCCCCTGAAATTTACATCGAGGAAGTGCCTCTGATAACAATGATACGAATCCGCACAGTTGGAATAGATCCTGACGTAGGATCCAATAAGGCTATAAATAGTACGGATTAGTTCATAAATCAAGATAGTTTACTCAATTTTGGAATGGCAAGTTTACTTGCTCAACAAATAGAGAACTCTACCGCCGTTCACAAGTTTTCCTTCTGTTTGGTGGTAATCATTGATAGGCACCCACATCAAGTTGGTTCATTTGAGCAGGCCTCTCTTCCCACAAGAACCTTCTCACTCACGCATCTTCATTATATCTAGTTAAGCACGCTCTGTCAAACTGCTACCCACGATAGGACTCTTCTACCCATTATTTCTGTGAGTAAGCTTTATCAAACTTCGCTCCACCAACAATTTACCCTACTTTGACCCCGTATTATTGTCGGCGGACTTTATCCAGTGCATTTGCTTAACATTACTTTGTCTGGTGCCTTTTGAATTGCGAAATCTGCGATGCTCACCACATGTAAGTGGTTATCGACCTGATATTTTAAATACATATGGAACCAACCGTGTGTCGCTATTATCTCGCGCGACCTTTGGGTGAAGTTAATTTTTCTCCCTTATCTCTTGTTACCTGTGAGTACTTCTTTTCCTCATTAACAGTTTCAAATCGTAATTTTTCAAATTTAAAATTTCCTAATCTTTTTAAATTTAATAGTTAATTTTCGGTATTTGCATTAAATTTTTATATAACTTGTACCATCACAGATATAAAATGTCTCTTCATACCATTGAATGGATGAATTTTAAATCATTGAACTTTGTATTGCACTATGTAACAATGCCCTAGTTCAGTGATGATGTAATTATGGTTCCACTGACAATTAAAGTGACAGTAGATTTTTTGAGTGCGTTTTGTTCGTATTGTTTACCTAAATTATATCGTTTTTTCACTGTTATAGATATATTCCTAAAGTAAGTAGATAGTATATGTATCAAATATACTTACAATCGTTTAGTTACCAATTACATACCTTTCAACTATTTTTTATGACCTGTAAACAATATTTAGAAATAAACTTAAAACAGTAAAAACGTATATGTCAAATTTATTGATGTTTTTGTTAAAAGTTTGGTTAGAAATAAATGTCAGTGGAACCAAAATGACATCACACTGAACTAGCGCATTGTATCCCTTCTCCCAACACTTAATTTTGTATTATAGGCCTGATGATGGCAACATAAGTCGAAACTAGTTACTCCCTCGTAACTGAACTATTAATTATATTCTCATTTTATTTCAACTAAAACTGAAAAACTGGCGCCAGGATCATCGACCTATATAGCTTATATAGCTAGCTCTCGAACTCTTTAGATTTTTCTTGACAAGAAATGACATTTCCAGACATATCTGGACTATTCTATCTTCTTCTTTTACTCGTACTTTCACTAATGACGACCGCAGCACACTGTAGGGTAATGGGTGACATTGCACTTCTATTTGTATTCGTACGTTTTCTATAACGGCCACAGGCTACTGCAGGCTGCAGTGTAACAGTATTATCGATTTTGAGTAGTTTTATTCTTGTTGAGTATACGTTTAATCTTTTATTCTTAGTCAGAATTAGTACTAGAATGTAACCAAGCCTTGGGCGAAGTAGCCGCTAACAATATGGTCCCTGGGCCATACCATATCTTGTCCATTCATTAGCCAAGAAGGCAGTCAATCATATACATGGCCCTTTCATTGGACTAACAATATCGATCATGACAAACCTAATTATGGTGGTATGAAATAAGAAACTGAAGAGTTATCAGGTAACTCTTAACTACCCTGTCAACACTACAGCAACCAAATACTTGGTTATAACTAGACAGGATATGTGCCTGGTCATTGCCACGTACAAACGCACAATGGGCCTAGTAAGACCTAAGTGGAGCAGCAGGTTTTTATTGTGTATCGATATCTGCAGTCAAGCCAGAACGAGCTCAGTTAGTAGTTGGATGAGTGACCATCTCAATGAAAATCGGCGTACGTCCGAACAAACTGCTCGCTTAGTTACATACCACAGCGGATAGGCGTTATGAGTACGAGGTATAGCGTGGGGTGTGCCATCTTTTAGGAGGATATGTAAAACCGTTGTTCCCGAGTCCATGGATGTTGAGCTCGTTAAAGATCCCTACCTCTGATTGGAACACCAGGGGATTCAGTTAAATTTCTAATAATTGGGTGTAGCGTGCTCCCCAGCGTCGGTGTTTAAACCTCGTCATTAGAAATAGGATGATGTTAAATAAATTAAAAAAATGCCTAAGTGATGTGGGACAACCCACCTTACATATACAGCAGTAGTTGTCGATGTACCTAAAATGGACAACAGAGTGACAAGTTTGTAATTTATCTTTTGTTTATTCCATTTAGGCATTCCAAGGACCTGTCCAAACGGCTAACAGTGGGATCTGACAGTTTAGATATGGCAACCCTGTGGGCATGTTGTCAGTAACAGGGTCAATGATACATAGATAGTTATATAGATTGCTCAAAGCGGGTCGTTTGCGAGCGGCCATATTGCCTGGCAACTGTTTATTAATTTGAATCGGTTTACCAAAAATGTGTTTTAAAACCAATTTTCAGCCTTTGAACATTAAAAAAAATAATTACCTTCATTTTTACTTCAAGGCAGGAGCTTATTTTTATTTTTAAAACCATGGATGATCAATCTATAACTGTCTATATCATTGACCCAATCAAACCACCAGGCTCACAATGTTGCCATATTATAACCTGTCATGTGCCTGTCAGTGGCCTGCCATTTCAAACGGGCAGCCATTTTGTTTGGAATGCCTAATAAAATCTTACAAATTTATTATTGGATAGATTTAAACCAAGCAAATTAGAAATATGAATAAATATTAAAGCTTTGTGCAAATCACACTTTTTGTGCATTTGTTTTCACCCGCAAAATTAGGCTTGACAAGTTTGTTTATATACATACATACAGATACATGTTTCAAGAATATTATTTGTTAACAAAAAATTTTATAAAGATCCAGTTTATTCATATATTTGAAAACATTTGATAATAACAAAGAATACACTTTAAAACATGAATCAAAGTTTACACCAAAATCCAAAAAATATTAATCACAATAATAATGTTTCTCTTGATACCTAGTTGTCAAATGAAAAAAACAATATTCTATTTACGAAAACTGCTGCAGTGGTGATTATTTTGTGATGAAAGTACGTTTCAGTTGATTATTTTTTATTATTTTCATTGACAACTATTACCTACAGAATAATTAGAGGTAACTATCTAGTTTGCCGCCTTCGTGATTTTCAAAAACTTGTACAAGTAGAACTCAAGAATATAATTCTGAGTTTCACAATTTCAGCGATGATCTCTGTCTGAAATTTTATCTTGATACTAGGCATATTACCTTTGAGTAGAAGTATATCGCTAGTGCAAACAAAAAATTATTTAAGCTTCATATACACTGGCAATATCTCATGAAAAATAAAACTTAATATTTTAAACACTAAAGAACATTACCACTCATATCTTTTAGTCATATAATAAAATTAAACTACCACAGTATCAAGAATATCAATAAAACAATAAATATTAAATATTCTGTGGCAAATGGAGTTATTCCGATGCCAATACTATCACAAACAAAAAACTCATGGCACTAGAAATATTTAATTCAGATTCTTTTCAAATAGGTCAAGGTTTAAAGGGTAAAACTAGATATTTACCGAAATAGAAAAATCAGTCGATAAAAAATATAAAAACCCAAGTAAAATTGCTAGACTTGTTCATCATTTTAATTAACATTACCACTCATATCTTTTAGTCATATAATAAAATTAAACTACCACAGTATCAAGAATATCAATAAAACAATAAATATTAAATATTCTGTGGCAAATGGAGTTATTCCGATGCCAATACTATCACAAACAAAAAACTCATGGCACTAGAAATATTTAATTCAGATTCTTTTCAAATAGGTCAAGGTTTAAAGGGTAAAACTAGATATTTACCGAAATAGAAAAATCAGTCGATAAAAAATATAAAAACCCAAGTAAAATTGCTAGACTTGTTCATCATTTTAATTAACGTATTAATTAATAAAGTATTTATTTATATTATAAAGACTAATTATTTTACTTGGGAACCATTAATTTCTTTACATACGAGTATTTACATTTATATACCTTTTTATAGACCCTTAAAACACTTATATACTTACGAAACAGAAATGGTATTATAAAGCCATTCTTTCCATGTAACATTAGACGATGAATCTATTCGAGATTCTATACTTTCGCACAAATTTTTTCGATCATGCGATCTGCCTGAATGTAGATCGCACAAAATTCTTTTTTTACATGCCAAATCGCAAGATGGTCTGGCAGGACTTGCTTTGTAATAATATCTGAAAAATTAAATAAGACTTTTTAGTAAATTAATTATCGAGACTTGATTCCTTTAAAAATATAGATGAATAATCATCGATATCATCAAAAACAACCTATTCAATTCCAATAAATTTATTATTTTGCGAAAGAGAAAAAATTCAATAGGCGACAGTTCCCGGGAATGGAATGAACAATTTTTAAAAATATCTTTATTGTTGGTCTAAATATTAACAAATAACAAAATCTAATATCTATATGGAGTTTAAAAAATCATTGGTGGAATAATCAATTTTTTTCAAATAATTTGGATAATATATTTTCAAGATTTTGTAATATTTTAAAAAATTCTAAAAAATGACTATGAACTGCAACGAAATAAAGTGTGGAGCGGAATAACGAGCGATTTTAAAAGGCTGTAAAAAAGAAGAAAATCAAGTTTTACAAATAAATTTATTACTCGTATCTTATTAAAGAACATAAAAAGCATTTTTGAAAATGGCATCCGTTCAGAAGTACATATTCTTCCAATCGTAAGATTTACGAAGATTTCAAGATTTCTACTTACTTATAGAATAGATCAAATAATTTAGGATCATTGGTCATTTTGGTAACAAGTTCGTCCCAATCCTGAGGTCTTAAGGCTTCTAATCCAAATGCTTGTCTTGCAGTATAAAGCTTAAACCATATCGGGTATCCATACAAATTGGCCTCCCTTAGGTTCATCGTCCAAGATTCGTGGTCTACAACAGACTAAAAACAAATATTTTCTAAATTAGTAATATACAGGGATCCTAATTTTTTTTAACTGTTTATAGAAGTCTTTAAAATAAACATATTTTTCAAATCACTTTTTAAAAAAACTCAAAAATAAGAAAGATACATAAATAAAAAATCTAAATTTAAAGGTAGTCGCCATGTGTAAGTAATAGAGTAAAGGGAAAAAAATAAAACTAGGTCCTTAAGTTAATTACATTTTAATAATAATTCTGTGAGAACTTGAGGACCTAGTTTTATTTATTTTCCTTAATAAAAAATCTAAATTCGGGACTAGACTTGTGTATGAAAAATTAAGTTATATAAATAAAGTCTTTACCGTTTTATTATAATTTAGTCGAGTGTGATTTCGGTAGAGTCTTCAGTTTTAGTAGTGAATTTAAATAATTGTTCACTATTGTGGCAAATTGAAAATAAAGTGTGTTTGGAATAATTCTTATCGAGGAAGATCCAACAACAAGTACGCAAGTGATTGCAGTGATTAGGTGGGATAACTTAAACAACAAAAGTGTGGACAACATTGCGAAAATATCAATTGTATCCAGTTCAACGGGTTTAAGTACTACAACTTGAAGATTACCCCCGCAGAATTTAGTCTTGTGAATGGTTTTTACAACGGCATGAATCAGGTCAATATTTTTCGAAGTTCTACACATTATTTAAGTTAGAGAGTGTAACGGGTCGAATAACCGTTAAGGTACCATTCCGGTAGGCGCGTCAGGAGACAGGAGACCACCGAGGCGACCCCAAGATGCATGAATGTTATGCTCCGTACATTCGGGAAGTAAGGAGACAGGTATCGCGACACCCGCAGATAACCATTCGAGTGAACTATCCAGCGTTGCCAGACCTATTGTTTTTAAGTAGATCCACTGTTTTTGTCTCTAGCAAATTTTGTTCTTTATTAAGTTTGCCTCATTCTTCAGCAAATGGTCAAAGAGTATTTTCTCTAGTAAATCTGCTGAAGTAAAAGCAGCGTAATTAGCATCCACTACTGTAGGTTGGCTCCATAAAAAAAAAACATCAAGATAATCATTATGTTTTTATTTAAAATGAAACAAAGAATTAATAGGGCATCATAAAAAGAACATGCATGCCAAACACAACAATTTTGAATTATCTGATTCAGATTGATCTAAAAGAAGTAGGTACCTATTATATTGTTTTTTTTTTGTTTCTGTATGTTAAGTATATACCTATTAAAAATGTTATTATTTGTTTTTATTCTTTGTTTACTTTTGGATTTGGGTAGAAAAATTTTTATTTTTCGTTTTTTATATATTTGTTTTTTTTTTTATTTACTACACTTCAAATTATAATTTTTTCCCCCTGTATTAAAATCTAGTGTTCAAATCTACGGTTTTTTTTCACCATACTGTTCCAACATCTAGCAACACTGTCTAAATCGAAAGAAATTTCCAAATACAAGCGATGTCTGAGGAAAGTGACCTCGACTGCGACACGCAGCAAACGCTTTGCCCGGAGATCGATCCAAAGTGTCGTCTAGAAGTGTCGCACCGTGCGAAATGTGTTTCATATAATTTCATGTATTTCAGACGGGAAGTGACAGTTCTCGGTCGCGTCTGTTGTCGTCTGTCACGTCGGCTGTCGTCTGTCGCGCCTACCGAAATGGTACATTTAGGCAAAACGGTATGCAGTGCTTTTCAATAGTATTCCCGCGTTTAAATATCCACACTGGATGCATCTGACATGTTGTGAATTTTTTATCACGTGATAGAGAATTAGATCTGAATGTAGATGTAATAAACAAACGCTCTAGACTTTATTGATCACGTGATAAAATGACAATGACACGTTTTAGAAGTGTATACTTTTTAAATTTGACTTTTGAGACTACAAATCAACCTAAATTTGAAATCTAAACTAAAATTAAACAAACTAATCACCTGCTAATCACTTTTATATTCATGCTAGCATAAACAAAGGATAAATGGACAAAATTGGCTTCAAAGAACACTTACTTTCTGGCATGGAACGAACATCTCATTTCAAATCGGGATGTAAAAAATGTAATCTGGTCAGGTACATCTCGGATAAACAAACGCAGGTGTAGATATAGTAGATGTGTCCGATGTGGATAAACAAAAACGTTCGAGATGTAAAAAATGCATCGGAGGTGGATATTCAAACGCGGCATATGTACATATGTTTTTATTTGACTATTTCCAAAAGATTCTGTTGTTTTTATTATTAACATTTATTACAACGAACTAGTGAAGATTTGAAACTATGTCTTGCTATTTTATAGTATTGGAACGTAGCATTTATATTGAATACATTCTAGGGTTAGTTGGCTAGTGTATTATTTTATCTAAAATTTCTACAATATTTTTCTTCCTTTTCAGTTTTTGTGTGGAGTCCCAAAGCTCTCATTGGTAACTGCTGTTATCTGGGTTACTAAGAAAGTTCTGGAGCAGTATTTGTTTCTGTACCACTGTAACTACAGTGTGAAGTCACTGTACCCTTGGTTTATCGAAGGTAAATAGCATGCATTTTAATAGCCTTCAGCGCATACATCTACTTGAGGAAAATCAGAGCAACGAGTTAAATTTGTTTGTTAACAATTGAAGTGATATACTAGGATGTCGTTTTTCGTTAAAAAAATAATGTAAATATGAAACAGTACGATAAAAGGATTACAATATATTAATAATAATTATTATTATAATTTTATAGACAAAGTTTACGAAATGAATGTTTGTTTAATTCGGCAAAATTTCGGCAATGGGATTAGATCCATTTGCAATAGATAGTCGCAAATATGTTTGCAATCATCACTAATTTCTAATAGGTTGGAATTTACAGTTGAGGATTTTTGTAATTGTTGCACTAATTCTATATCTAGTCAATAGATACCTGTCCCTCCCGGATGAAAATCTATTTGAAGACATTTGACATTAATTCGTCGAGAATTCAATGGATACCCTCTCCTTAAGTGAAAAACTTTTAAATATTAACGAAAAAAAAAAAAACGGACCAATATAAAGAGTAGTCCACAAAAAATGTTTCTAAAGTAATAAGCCATGAACGACAAAGACAGAGATAACTTTTTAAAAGCCAACTTTCTGTAGATATCACTATATAGAAACTGAAAGTTAGTTAAAAAACTCAAAAATTTTATTAAATATAATATTTACCCTTGTTGATTTATCATGATCTCCATCAACATAATATATCCTGTATCCTGGATTCAGATCATAGTAAGGTGTTACAGATGGTCCAATGTAGGCAATATTTATTGGCCTCGCTACAAAACATACTCTATTTAATACACCTAATATTTTTTTTTAATAATGAATGCTTACATAAATCTTTTTTATCGTAAAAAACTTCGAATTCGTCATAGTGAGTGTGGCCAAAAAATTGGGCAACTATAATTGATTCGTATCGGTTGATGATGGCATAATAATTTCTGGACCAAACTTTGAGGCAATCTGAGTGGCCAGGTGGAATGTGACCTAATTAAACAAACAACAGAACATCATTACTAAACATTTTTGGAATAATCTTCATAAAATTTAGTTACATTTGTCTTTAAGGAGACAATCGTTAAAGATTATTTTAAATATTAGGTAAGACAGTTATGTATTTTTTTAATAAAATATCTGTTTACCTATAACATGTACTTTTTCACCATTAAATTCAGCAGATTGAAGTTCGTAGATAAACCATTGAAGTTCTGTAGCTGGATCTGTACTGTTCAGCAGCAACCACCTAAAAAATTAGTAAATTATAGAACATTGTTTTACGAAAAACAATTTAACTCCGCACTATACTTACCAATTTTTGTTGTTGCAATAATTCATATTTAAAGAGATCAATCTAAATCCAGGCCTAATCAAAACTGAATAAAACGCTCCTCTTCGTACTGTATTACTAACAGAACCTGGCAGCCATTTTCTCCATTGTACGTCTAATTCATCATAGAGCCAAGATATGCTGCTTTCTGGACTGTCGACAAAAGGCGGTGGAAAACTATAATAAAAAACATTTTGTTAAAAGTAGCATATACCTACCTCTGGGGTACCTATTCTTGATACTCTCAGAGAGTAGAAATTTTGAAGGAAGAATGAGACAAAAATACAAATTTTTGGCGTTGCATATAAAGAGGAAAAACTGGTTTTCTACTCCCTTGAATTCAAGAATAGCTACCCTGGTGCGAATAAAGCAGAAGTGGCAATGATAAATTATAGACAAATTAATATGCAGGTTGATTAGAAATGTCAGAATTTAACTACACCATCTCTTTTATTTATGAAGCAATTTGGATAAAATTTGGTAGAAACATACTAGACATAAATTTTGAGTTTGATTTTTTAAATGAGTCACACTGTATATATTATGTTTTTTAAAGTCTACGGTTCAAATTACAAGGTCTACGATCTCAGACTATATTCGTGAATTCTTAAATAAAAGCTTTATAAGTATTGAAATAAATTACTACTGTTTTTTTTACATTGACTAGTTTCCATAAAAAAATACTAATCTATTAAAAAAAAACAGACAGTAATTAACAAAATATGTATATGTACAAATAATTTGACTACACTTGTATATATTAATAATCCTTGAAAACAAAGGCATTTATGTAATTATCTAAAGTCCGGAAATGTTTTGTAACATTAGATTGTATGAAATATGTATATCATTTACCACAAGAATCAATAATTTAATTAGAAATGAATCACTACGTAGGTACATCTTGATTTGAATAAAATATAAGCAATACTTGTCACCGCCATTCAGCAATTTTAAATATTTATGAGGGTAATTTCAGGCATACCAAGTGATATTTAAAATTAATTTTCTCAAAAAGAATGTTTAAATATTTATTTATAAAAATAACAGGATACTGCACTTTCAGTAGTTTATTAAATATCGGAATTTAAGTGTTAACTCCTGTTGTGATGGTGTGAGGGTACTTACAGTGGAGGAATGTGGTAAATCTAATGAAAAATAAAACAAAATTTTAAATATATTCGATTATTCAATTTTCGTGTTATTTTATTAAGGAAGTGTTACTTTTTTATTCAATAATAAAAAACTGGCTTAAAAATAGAAATAAAAATGTTTATAATTATAATTTAGTTAATCTGATAATATCACTCACTATGTAATAATTTCTTATATCTTTAGTTGATTAATATCGATAATAATCATTCACAGTGCTTAACTAATAAGCGATAATCATGTTTGGTACATTAATGCTGTAGAATCTAGTAGGCAAGCTTGTCATGTTTTTTCATTGCTTTTATACTGTAACTATAAATTAGTCAGCTGTCATATTTTATTGATTCGTGATATATTCTATTGAATACAACTTTTGGTATCAGTTCTAAGGTGGAGAAAAATGGACAACAATCGTTTTGATTGTTCAAATATACATAGTTAAATAATCCTTTCAAATGCCACGTCAGGAGATAATTTTTTGAGAACATTTCTTCTTCTTCTTCCTGCTTTATTTGGGCTATATCTACAGGATAATTTACCCAGCCAATAACGGGGAGAATATCCTTGTCTTGCTCCCAGCGATTGGATACCTTTGAGAACATTTTGTTGTTTTCTTAATAATTATGCAAATTTCTAAAGAAATGACAAAATGTTCTCAAAAAATTTCAACCTTTTGTGGGTATTACCCTTGATAATCTGAACAAAGTAGGAAATCGACCAGCACAATCAATTATAGATAGAATTTTTAAAAGAAAATATAAATAAATTAATAGTTCTAATACCTGTTGACAGGCGCCGATTCATGATTTCCTAAAGCAGGAAAAATTGGCGCTCCCGGAAACATCATTGACATTTGTTTCACTGTGTCTTTTAGAATCTTTAAATTCTCTTCCCTGGTTTGATTCCAAATATCATGAGGAGGTAAATCTCCTGTCCATAAAATATAATCGATATCCTAAAAGTTACAAAAGAGAATAATTAAACACTTATATTTAACACTTGACAGGGTTTTTGTAAGGCCATCTACCCAGCCAGCACAATCATGTCAATTGGAGTTCCATTTAAAATACATTTTTAGATGTCTCCAATTTTTTTCAACACGAAGAAGGGCCAAAGGTCAGCGCTGTTGACATAACTAAAGTCTTTAAAACGCAACCACAACTCGTAATACACTATTTTAGATTATTTATAATTCATTTATTAATTTGGAAACTCGTCATACGCCATTATTATTTTTTATTAAATTATAAAATGCTTAAGGTAGTTCACTCGCGACAGTCGTACATAAAAATATCGCATAATGGTGAATACCAAAAGTTCGAGATTCTCAATGCTAATCAATTTTATTTTTGTAAGAGACTGTACAAAACGCATGTAAGTTTATGAATATGGATATGTTATAATTTTAGTAATATCCATCCGGCAACCTCGTCAATATATGAACGGTGTGCTATAGAAAATTGTGACTTTCTGATACTAATTTTAAGGGTTTGTTTTGGTTCAAACAGAACCGCTGATTCCAGTTCTCAAATACAGTGGACGAATTAATTTTTCAAGAACTCGTCGCGAGGTTATAACAACCTCTTAGCTGATCGAGTGTTATTTTGTTACGTGTAGTGATTACAATGTTGCCAAGTTGTAATAATTTTACGTAACTACGCGTCGACTGCCATAAAAATATTTTTATTTTAAAAATCTATATCTTTAATTAATTGTGTACATGACTGGCTTCAAGAGTGTTAATTATGCATATTTTAATTGTTAATATCTCGTTTCACAGACGGTCAAAAAATGTAATTTTTTTTATTTACGTAAACGACACTTTCATTCGCCTTATATTTCAATTTTATTGAATTCTTAAGAAAAGCCATTTTACGAGTGCACTACCTTAACCAGACCGGGAATCGAACTCACGACATTTCGGTTAACGTTCGGCCCTTTCAGTCGCTCTCTGCGTTCAATCACGGAAACCTATAACAATTTTTTCACTAGACGTCAAAATACTAATAAACGTGTGTCCAAATATATCTAAAATGGACGTTAGTTAGACTATGTTTGTTGTCTGTATATAGATATGTTACAGGAATATCAAGAAAATTGTAAAAAAAAATAAAAACGGTTCTTTTATAATGTCAAAAGTATAACGTATGAACCTGTACTGTTTTCAATAGTATATTGCGTAATTGAATTACAACACGCCTTACGTACTATACTTTACCTACGATCACCAAAGTAAATAAGCTTGTAATATAGTCTGTTTTTTTATTGTGCGTTTTGTTTACCGAGCGCTTTGTTTACTTTGCATAATGAATTATTTACTGAACCTGTAAGTTGTTTTTGTCTGCTTTACAAAGTGGTCGTAAGTAAAGTTTTATTTATATATTATGTATTTTGATATATTTTCTTACAGGATGTGTTTCTTGGATATGTTGTAACATGTTGTCTACGGTTATTTTTGGAGTATCACATTTTCGGTAGTCGCCCCATCTAAAAAATGATGGAAAAATTATTATACAAAATTAAAGTTTTTACTTTGTTTGACAAAACAATTAGAAAGGCTTTTTCAGCATGAAACAGGATTTTTGATGGAATACAATAATTATTATGCAATATGTTAGATTTGTTTGAAAATTATTCATGAATAATAATAACTTCGAGTATATCCTGGGAGGAAGTCATTTCACAAAAAAAAATATTCAGGAACTTATTTAATTTATATTTGGAGAACTATATCTGTAAACATTCCAGAACACCGCCTGCTCACCTCCACTTAGGACATCAACTCCCTAGTAATCGAAGTTCAAACCACCAACACAAACGCCGTCCTATGCTGTCGAAACTTCGGCCACAAAAATATTTCCATCGATACAGCCCAAAACACGACCCTGTTACCAAAATCGAATTGATCCGTCTCAATGCCTTAATTAGGCTCCAAATTAATTTATATAAACAACAACAGTGGATCAATACCACTTCAAATACGGACTATAGAGACGGTTCCAAGTTTTGGGATAAATTCAAATTCATTATAGGTCAGAAATCCAAAACTCCCACAAAGAAATTGACGTTGAAATACACACTACCCCTGACGAGAAAACCCTAGCACACAAGATACCTTGAAACCATTTTCAGAACTCCTGATAACTCTTAGTTTGAAGCCCATTTTCGAGACGAAACCGAACTCAATGACCATCAGATACTTGAAGTTCCAGTTCCACCATTGGATGTCCAAAATCTCTTATAGCCCCCTTCGCTCTCCATATGAGTCCCCTAAATGCAAAACTCGGTATTTGACGAAATTTTCAAAAGTAATGTTTTGGCGCCATTCAATTCCTTATTTCAAACTCTGCCATTCTTCTCCTAAAATAAGATGCAAAACTCACTATTTATGTATTAAAAACGCTTTAGAAAACGAAGACTAGATACAAAACTCTGTATTTGCCTTCACTTGTCAAATGTAAAACTACGTAATTGTAACCTGCCAATGGCGTTGTGCCTAATAGTCACGTGGTTAAGTAAGATCGCCACCAAGAAGAAGAAAAAACCCTCATGGAGGAAGAAAACGAAGAACTCAGATTCTAAGAGTCTAAGTACCTTTTTTGCTTATTTAGAAAATATTTTTTTGCTTGTATGTATATTATTACATCTAATAAAAATATTTTAATTTATATTTTGGTATCTTTAATTAAAAAAAAAATATAAGAAAATACATTTTCTAAAATAAGACAACCATGTACTTATCGGTATTTGCAATTGTGAGTTGAGAAACTGGGTATTTTTAAAACATAAATGCAAAACTCGGTATTTTAATTTTAAAAGTATTTTTTTTTAATTTTGGGTAGGATTTCCGATTAAAAAACATAGTTATTTCAAAACAATATCACTAGAGCCAACTAAAAACAAAATTTAAAACTAATTTCATATGTATTTTAATTAATGACAGTTTTTTGCCCTTCCTGAAAAATGTTATAACTAGCAAATACAGAGTTTTGCATTTAAGGGACTCATATATCCAATACGTTTGTCAGAAGGCTCTGATTCCGTATATAGAAGAACGCTGAAACATCTACATGAAACCATATTTCCGATCCGTGCCCTACTCCTGGAACCATTCTCATTCCCAAATTAGGCAATGATCCCAAATCCATCTACTCCCCCCGTCTTAATTCTCTCATAGCTGCCCACGGTAAGCTTCTTGAACTTCTACTCAATGAGAGCCTTTGGGACTTTTGTGAGAGGAGAATTATCATTCATCAATCCTGACGTAGTTTCAGACCGCATCACTCTACTCAGGACGTAATATCCTTCCCCCATACAACTGCTCTTACAGTTAATTCTCTCCAGATATATTCGGCTGTCCTTCTCGGTGTTCAAAAAGATTTTGACCAAGTCTGATATGCCGAACTAGTGAAAAAACTTATGAACATTTTGAGCCCATAATATTAATTTTAAGAGGTCTATCATCGCTATTTTTATATTTATATTTTAAGAGACCTTTTTTGTAGAACATTAAATTTCCTTTAAGAATCCGACGTGAGCATTTTTAAATATTCATTGATTCATTAGTTACAAAATTTCAAAGTAAAAAGGACAAATCGAAAAAACACATCGATCTATTAAGCTCAATTACTCGGAAACGGCTCGTCTGACGAAAATTTTCAATCAGACCTTTTTTGTAGAGAATTTAATTTTATATAAAACTAAGTGAAAAGGAATTTTTTTCACTTTTTTGACAGTTCACGTAAAACATCAAATTATGACTAAAAATCAAAAATAGCGATAACAGACCTCTTAAAATTAATATTAAGGGCTCAAATTTTCACGAAATTTTTTTTTGTCATCCTGAATGTCATTCTCGATATATTCTTCAAAAAAAAAGAGTAAATTTTTTGGCCCAGTCTTATAGGTCTCCCCTCAATATCTCTAAATTCGCCCTCTCATATATCACTGACAGAACCTCCAAGAGTCAAAGTAGGCAACGTCCTATCAGACACATTCACTGAACTTGCAGAAATCCGTAGGGTTCCGACCTGGCGCCTCTTCTATACCTTATCTACACTCATGGCCTTCCTTCACCAAGCCACCAAAAATGTCGATGATTTTTCAAAATACATGATAAACTTTTTTAAATGTCTTACTTTCCAGCAGCCTGTTCTTTTGTTGTTGCAGGTCCATTGGTTAATCGGCAACACAAAGGTTCTGCACAATCTGCATTGCTTCCTTCCATGTAGTATGGATCATAATGGGTATCGGACAAATGAAGTACTTTAAACGTAGGACCATTTGCCTAAACAGAATATTTAAAAATATATCAGAAATTAGAAATTAAACTTATAATTAACTAAACAGTACAATCAAACTAATTGATCATTGGGGTGAGAAGTAATTACTACCCAGAATGAATGTACAATAAACTTCATGGCATACTCAAAAGATCTTTAAACTTCTAAATAAATTATGCATTTAAAAACATTTAGTCATTGTATACCTCAGGTATTTTTGGTTCCACTATTGTTGGTTTAGGTACTGGTGGAAACATGACTTCCCATTCATGGTAAGGGTTGTAGACGTCTCCACAAGCATCGCCGATGACAAAACTGCAAATTTCATCTGGACCTATAGAAAATTAACTATAAAAAATATCGCATTTCATAATTGAAAAAAAAGAAAACGGACTACTTTTGGAAACCAAAAAGGAGCGAGTTAAAGCATACTGGCTTAATTTGTCATAGGCCTTAGAATAATTTACAGATACTACAATCATTATTATCATTAGAATATGATTGTTATTAATCTTAGCAAATCCCATTTTTTAACAGACTTCAAAAAAGAGGTTTTCAATTCGTCTGAATATTTTTTTTATGTTTGTTCAGTGATAATTCTTTACCATGTTGTCTGATTTCTATGATTCTTTGTTAGAAAGGGGGTACCTCAGGGGTGGTCCCATATACATTTGGTCAAGATCTATTATAAAATCAGCAAACTCAATTTTTAATGGCATCTGCACGATTTTGGAGTAAATTTTTTAAAATTAATTTTATAAATTGTTTATAGAGAGCTAATGTTAGTATATTTTGAGTACACAACTACAATATCGTCCCATTTGGACACGGGTAGGTACCTCAAGCGTCTGTTTCCAGAGCTAAAGAAAATATCCTACTTCTGACAGAATTATATTTATTAAAATATGCACTAGAATGACTGCTAATTTGGATTTAGGACATTTGGTTAATCCTTGTAGATTGGTTCTAACTGAAAGAGTTGCTGAAGAACCTTGAATTAGATCTACTGACAGCAGTGACGAATCATTTTCTTTTTAATTCTTACTTACAGTATTATTAGTATTAGTTCAACAACACTGGATACATTTAATAGATGTTTTGACCTAAATTATTCGTCCTGACCCATATTATCTTCCAAATTTTTTTTATCCAGTAGACATTTATATGGGTTTTCATTCTACGTGTCTTGCCAACTAGCTTATTTTACATTTAATTTATATAACTAGAATTTGATTTTCTTTAATACCGTTGTGCAAGCCATTTTCGACCAGTCCGGTCCTGCTCTGTTTTCATTATCGCCGGTCGAGATAGCTGGTTAACCGCTTACGTGAAATTTCTAGACACGATACCGATACATGGTCTAGTCGAATTGAGAGCGTCTAAGAGTCTTCTAAGACAGGTCTGGAACACCACATCTTCCATATAAATAGCACAACTTTGTCGTAATGAGTCCATTCAAAATGAGAGGCCGTTGTTGGCAAATTAATATTAATTAGTAAATAAGTATTTGAGATAAATAAATGATCTATTAAGTTATAAAATAATTAGGTTGAATGTATTGTAAATAAATTAAGTAATAAACTATTTTAAATAAATAAACGTTACAATTTACTATTAATTTAGCCACCCTTCGAGTATTAGAGGATGTTAAACCTATGATGCGTCTGTATTAGTAAGGATGGCAACTCGTCGTGACATATTAAGCAATAATATCAAAATTTTATTCAATAATAATGACTTAGAAATAAAAACGTTAACATTCTACATTCAATCTAAAATAGCGTGAATTATGTGCATACCTATTACCTTTTTTGTAATAATAAATAAATGTATTGATTTATTTACGTACCAATTTTGACTTTGCTAAGAACATATATTACTTCGCCTGCAAAAAGTTCAGTGATACCCTCGCACACTCTTGGTGATTGAATTTTTAAATTGACGCAAAACTGGTAAATCGTTTTCTTGATTTCCTTCTCAGATTTTCCTGTTTTTGTATAATGTTGGAGTAAACCAGCACCTAAAAAAGAACGCAAAAAATAATGTATAACAATGTTTAATTAAAAAGAATTATATCATCTTATTCTGGTAAAATGAATAAAAACTACAAAAGGGTCAAAAACAATAATAAATAGTAGGTAATTATACAGGGTGTCCCGAAATTAGACGGTCATATTTTAACAGCGTAATCTACATCTTAAAAAAAAGGAATAAAAGTTCATATAAACATAGGTCCGAAAACGTTTCGTTTTCGAGATACAGGGTGTTACAAGTGAAGTCCTGGTGGCACATTTTTGTAAATATTTTCTAAAATTTCTTTAGTCACCGGTATCCTAAAGTTAAAAAAAAATCAAATTTCTGATTCCAGAGGCTTACTAATTATTGTTTATACTTTCGAATAATATAACGTCAACTTATCATGAAATTTTCAAATGCTTTTTTCTTGAAAATGGTGCGTCCTAGCGAGATGCAACAAAAGTAGCTTTATTATAAAGAAAACATTGGTTTTCCAAATTTTATAGTCAAAAATATTAAAAACTGTCAACAAAAAAACTTAGGGCAATTTTACCCCCCCTAATTTACCCACCTATGAAGATGATCAAAAACTGGGGTTTAGTTCATTAAATAGAGCGTAAAAAGATTAGTATTTGTACTAAATTTGACTTAGTTATTGTTGTGTATGTCTTTGAAGAGTGCGAGTTGTCACACTTGACATAGAACATGGAACCGAACCCACAACCTATGTTTTTTGTTGTTTTATCGTTGTTGTTATGATAGTTGTCTTTTCGATGAATTATAAAAAAGGATCTGTCAAAACAGAATAAAGTTTCATTATAGATTTTATTGCGTTATTTATACACAAATACAAATACGTTTTCGGACCTATGTTTTACTCCTTTTTTAGGATGTAGATTACGCTGTTAAAATAGGACCGTCTAATTTCGGGACACCCTGTATATTTTTGAAAATTTCAAAAATCTTAAAGAGAAGATAATGTCGGGTAGAACTTTTAAAAAATAATACAATTATATGTGACAATAATAAAACTTTTAACATAAAATCCAGATTAAAATTAAATATTTTTGTAATCTCAAATGACAATGGAGATACAAATTTTCGATTTTTTTTTTTTAATTTTAAGTCCTTTTATGAATACAAAATGTATGAAAAATATGTACCTGCTCTACATGCCGTACAAGACACCTTGGACATGACAGAATTTTCAATTTCAAAAGCCACTTGTTTCAAGTTCAATAATTTGAGAGCTTTGTCAACAAATTGGGGTAAGTGAGTCGTCTTCTCTTGGTCTAATTCCCATAACAACCTGCCCTAAAAAATATTTTTCATTCAAATAACAAACTGGGCACCGCAACAATCTATCAATTTGCGTTACTACCGGTGATATAAGATTAGTGATAACTGTTACATATACACAATGAAAAATAAAATGTATTTTTTTAAATATATAACACTGTTTTTTAAATTTCCTATTTTTTCAAATATAAAAAAAATAAAAAAAAAGATTTGACAGTGCTTAATAAACTGAATTAGCGACTCATGTCAAGTGATTTATCTAATCAAATATTATAATGTACGGTACATTTCAACAAAATAATTACACCTTTGAGTCGTCTGAAGTCTCGTTTGCAGAGTTCTAAACTAAATGCTTACAGATGACACTACCTGATGGATACGCCTATTATACTCAGAATAAAAGTAAAAGTGGGGATATATCGTCACATTCCATAGGTGTACTTTACAAAATAAGTTTTTGTAATATAAATAATACTCCAGTAATTACGTGCTGTACAATATTACCTTTAGCTGGAAAATTTTGCGGAAGTTTTGATATTTGGCGTTTTGATGTATTTTTAAATGTTAAATGCTCTTTTTGATTTTTTATTTTGCCACCTCGTAATGTTGCCGCCGTCGCCGTCATATTGTAATAAATTGTGAAAAAAGAGATTTTCTCAAGATATCTTGTTACTAGTTGCTTTTACAGCACAAATGACCCCAGTACTTATTGACATAAGTTCTTTCATTGCAGGAAAGGTGAATGTTGGGAAAAGCAATCCATTAATTATTTTTTTACATCATTGTTATCACGATTAATCCGGAAACTTCTCAATTCAACATGGTGTCTCGAAGTGCTAAACTCTTTAATGCAAACATTTTCAACCGCGTCACAAATATTGTGCAAGAATGACATTTCCATAGTCCACCTACAAAGTAGGCTCTCCTGGACTCCCCGCCCACGAGTTAGGTTAGGTTGAAAATGAGTGGGATGATCACATCGCCTTCCACTGCGACCCAGATGGGTCTATTGTCCGTTCGAATTAATGATTTCTCAATAACCATGACTATATGTCTAACCATGTCTGACCATGTGCCACACCAAAATTTTCCAGAACGTTTAATTGTGAAGCACCCTCCATCTGTAAAAAACCTATATTCTGTAGGATTCATCTTTTCTTTTAAACTATACATATCCTGCAAATATAAGGCCACATTTAGCGTACAAAAAATAACCACTGGCATGAAAATAGGGCAACATTTACTGGATACTATTAAGATGAAGGTCCCAGTTTCCGCTTCTTTCGGTCTCAATAAATTGTTTCATAACTGATAACCATACGAAAGTAAGAAACCCATAATTTAGCAGTTGGACTACATTACTAGATGATTTTCAAATTTTGAAGCTAATACTTTGACGCATTGTTCTTGGTCTTCTCCAAGTATTACCGACTTGTCGAAATCGTATAGAATTGCTTCTAGTCCTACGTGTTGGTCTGGTGATAAATCAATTTTCTGCATGATCAATTTTGTAAGATGGATACATGTGCTCAGCACGGGCACGGACGAGAGTATGCATAACCTGCATTGGGATTCTCATCTTTCAATACGGCACGTGTTGAGACGACTATCTTCATTCCACAGAATGCGATTCTTATGTAATGTCTCTCTCTATTTGATTCGTTACGTGTTGAGTTCGCACATAAGAATTCCTGTCCATATAACATATTTTCAAGTGAGTTCGGTGCAAAAATTGTACTTAGAAGCTCGGTTAATCCACTACCATTCATAATATACCCTATGGCTCCCATGAACGACCTCAATAAATGAAATCCACCTAATCGTATAACGACATTTCTCAATTTTGTTTCCATGCCACTCGAACAGATAATTTGTTTTTCTTTAAAATACAGTGGCTGATTAAAAGTGATGAAACATGTTTGCTGATTTAATGCCTCTTCTCAGAGGCTGATGCTAAAAGAGTAAAAATCGTGTCGGAGTCAGTCGGTGGTGCATTAATAAAAAGCAAACAAGCTCTAAAAGGATATAAATGGTTTGCTGTCACTTCTTCCATAAATCCATTCCATCCAGGACATCCAGATATATGGGCAAATCAGCCCATTTCCCATAGAGCCACAGCAGATCTGAAGTTGACGACATTATTGAATTTGCGACTGAAGAAATAGTACGGAGATCTAGAATAGGAATTCTCTGTAGACTGGAAAATTTTATCTTCTCATGGCTTCGTAATGCAATGCTACCAGAATTTTCGACGTACTGAGCTGACGGCATTTTTGCAATGGCACTTGCGGGCGTTATACAATGGATGCCTCCCATAACATGAAAACTGTTTCTGCCATCCAGGGTTTGAGTATTAAAGTCCGCATTGTCGAAAACGAACTGTGAAAAGGCACTCCCGTCTCCCGTCAATACCCAAAGGAGGGCGCATCAAAGCCGAAACTTCAAAAAGTGTTTCTTCCGTGTACGAGGAACAAAATCCCAGTGAATCAAAGGTGTCAATCAGCTTACGAGATCCGTATCCAACTTTTAGATTCGAGCGGTAGCCTCAATGAATAAAATTTGTATTGCTTTGCACACTGCGTACTGGCTCAACTTTGTAACTCTTGTACACGAAAACGGTTGGTTTTATGAAAAAAATGATGGAACCAATCTGGTAGTTTAATTTACTACATAACCATTAAGTATAAGGGGTTAAGAAAAGGTCCTTTATTTCTCACACGTCAATTTTAATTGGCGACCGGTTTCGAAGCCTCACTCCAAATACTACATAACCATTTTTACTGCAAAAGCTACGAGTACCGAGATATCTTGAAAAATCTCTTTTGTTTACAATTTATTGCAATATGGCGGCGAGAGCGGCAAAGATACGAGGTGGCAAAATAAAAATTCGGAAAAAGCAGCTCAAAATACGTAGAATCACAAAATATCAAAACTTTCGCAAATTTTTCTAGGTAAATTTACGTAGTTACTGGACTATCACGGCATATAAAATGGTATTTACTTACGCACTTTGTAGATTAAATTTTGAATTAAAAACAAAAAATATTATTGCAAAAAATAAAAATAAACCTTATGCTTGTGACAAAATTGTTGCACTTTTACATTGAACAAATTAAATTTAACCAATAAATAACAAGGAGGATTATATGTTGTTAATGGGATTAAACTTTTTTTAATCTCTTGGCATTAAAAGTAACACTTCAGTACCTAAAATCAAAGATTAAAAAAATAAAAAGTTCAAGATCTTTAAAAGTCAATGTCTTCACTATAACCACTGGTATCATTATCGTTGTCTTTTCTGAGGTTTATTATTATAGGGTCTATTACGTTTTCCATTGCTATAGCCACTTTCCAAAATGAATTCTCCACATTTTTAACATGATCAATGTATTTTCTACAATGTTCTTCATTTACATCTGAAACTGCCTTCAAAAACAAATTTCGCACATCAGGTAATTTAAATGTTGTATTGTTTCGAGAAACATAACCTTTTAATTGTACCAGATCAGTTCAATGGAATTTAACTCTGCGTGGTAAGGAAGCAATCTGATAATTCAATTCCTCTTTCTCAGGCCATCTGTCTATAATATAATTTTTGAATTTGTTTTTATGTTGACTTGCTATTACGAGTAATTCTGCCTTCAATAATTTAGACATAATATATTTAGGTTTGAAACAAAGTATAAGTGAAATCAACACCGTAAGATAACCAAACTGGTGAATTGACGCTGTTCGTTACCTCCGTTGGTCATCACCTCTATACTCGTCGAAATATTTACCCAAGAGGGTACAACCTGTGTATGTCTAGAATAGAATCAAGCTAAATAAAAATGTAAACATCAACACAGTAGTTAACCAACTGGTGAATTGAGGCTGTTCATTAACTCCGTTGGTCATGAAGCTAAATAAAAATATCAACATCAACACAGTAGTTAACCAAATGGCGAATTGACGCTGTTCGTTAACTCTGTTGGTCATCAAGCTAAATAAAATATATTATAATTAACTAGACGATCACTTCTACTACTAGAGGAAAAAGGCCAAATAAGTATAAACTAAAATAAAATAAACTTGTGAGGTAAATAACATTTCAGAGAGTAAAATAACGATCAAATGGGGTACCGGAGGTGGGCAGTTACAAAGCCATTTTAAAATATCTTCTTTTTTTCATCCTGTTGTAGGTAGTGACTCCTTTAATCGATTTTGAAGATGCATTATCCAAAGCAGTAACGGAGTTTGGTAGAATTTTTTTTATAATCTTCTGAAACCAATTTTGAAACATAGGGTCATCCATTTATTCATGATAGTCTTTTGTTTTCTTTGACTCGACATTAATACACCATCTAGCAAAAATCCATCGGTTAATCAAATGTAAATTATTATTAAACGATTTTCTTTTCCTGTTGGATTTTTTAATCAACAAGAGACCCCTTCTATAAAGGCTTGTTTTGCAGTTTTGATGGAGTTATCTTGCCAAATTTTGGTTATTATATGTCCAGAATTAACCCATCTTTCATCTAAATAAAATATCTGTTTATGCTGATTGCTTGCGTCCACTATTTTCCTTAAATAATCATGTTTCCATGCAATCATTTCGTGTTTCTCTGTTAAAAAGCTGTTTCTGTCACAACTATTGTAACGAAAATTTAAATAATGTAATATTTTTAACATATGAAAATATGATATATTTGAAAGAGTGAGGCTATTTTTTATATCCGAGTGTAATTTTTTAAGTGTAGGAATTTCATTTCAAAAGAAAAAAGAATGTACCATTTGCCTTATTACATTCTTTATCCAAGTTTCAATAAAGGTCTTGTTTCTTCCTGGGGACATTTTCGGATGTGAGACTTCTCCAATAACTGTCTTCTTTAATAATGTTATACACTGTCCGCTTAGATACTCCAGTATAGGTCTCAAATGTAGTGCCTATTTCATCCAAAGTAAGTGAAACAAACTTATTAAGTACTTTCAGTACGATATTTTGTTCTTTCAAATTATCGAATTCGCCCGACATGGTTTGACGTTTACTCCCTCTCTACCTACCAATGGCCTTTCCAACTTCTGCCTATAGCTGCTTGTTGGTGCCAAAAGTAAATTATAGGTTTGTTCGGGTTTCTTTAAAACTGGATGCAAACCGTCCGAGAACCAGTGGAACAGTTGAATTCCAAATTATTCGTCGCGTACAACTATTAAACTGTCCACTGGTCAACTAGTTCTCTGATAGTTCTAAAGGTATTTTTGAAGAACCCGAACAGACCTTATGTTATTAGCCACATTCTCTATAGTTGCATATGATTTTGATAGGATTATTCACAGATTCGGATTAGCAGTTTTGATGTAACAATTCTGATTTAGATCATTTTTATATGTCTGTACAATACATTCATTACATACATTTATTAAAATTTATTATAGCACATTTTTAAAACTACAATGTATTTGGTCTTCCATCTGAAATTGAGACTGCAATACGTTCAAATTCCAAAGAGGTTAACAAGATTAAATGAATGAAGAGACGTGATTTATAATTATTATTGTTTATAATATTCAAAGCCAAATTTTAATTACTGGTATTGGCTATTTTCTGTGGCCGAGAAAAACTTAGTATAGAAAAACAATTCTACCTTTAACAACAATAAAATTTATTTAAAAAAATACATACTTACAGTGCCATTGGCTGTTGGCGGGAGAGTATGATTCCTAAATAAATTTGATAAAATTGGTACTTTCGTGCTCTCTATTTTATAATTCCAATCATCTGTAAATTTTTCGTCTGATTCTGGCTCGTCTGCTGTTATTATAAACGTATTTGAATTGTCTCTTTCTACCGGATGGCCTGAAATGAAAAATAAATCTTTTATAATGCCAATATCAAAAGAAAATCATTAAAATAAAACAGACTTCTACATAAAGTTCCATAGGCACCTCCACCAGAAGTCCAAGAGCTAGGGGCAAAAGAACCTGCCTTACAAAGTACCAAAACTTTTTGAACATACAAGATACCGAAATTATTAGAAGTAAGTAGTCATGAACTAAGGACCGCTCGTCTGCTGCCCCAAAATGGTAGCCTTTATCATGTAAAATTTTAGATTGAAAAAGTTTAAAAAGCCTTTGGCTATTTCTTAATTACGCATTATATTCATGCAAAAATGAAAGAGGGACGAAATAAATTTGGAATGCATGCGCCTGCCATGTGAACAATCGCCTTTTAGAAGCAGATGGATTTGAATAACAATATTAATATAATTTAACCAATTTTTTAGAAAACACAGGCAGATGAGCTGAAAGGTGAGCAAAAACTACCCCAGGAGCCGTATTCTGTAGCTATGCGAGTAGGCGAGTACTATCTCACTAGTTGGCCGGAATCATGTGAATGGTGAGAGCAATGTTGCCAGTTTTGTACGATATACGTTAAAGTTGAAAATTGCCCAGTTTTTTGGAATTTTTATTTTCCAACTTACGAGCTAGACTGAATTTCTATTGCATGCATACGTTTAATACATGTTTTAGTAATATATTATTACATACGTATAATTGAAAATATTTTTATTTACATGGTCACAAATGTGTGACGGTATTTTTTTGCAAAATCTTACTAATTCTACATAAAGTGAAAATTTAAATTAAGAGCGATATCCATGCAACACCTAACAGCAAATTCAGATTTAGAACACACTGACAACTTTCAGTGCATCTGAACCCACTTTGGCAACGTTGCTCTATTCCCAGACTTACGCTCCCTTCAATTTATTACTTATAAACTATAGATGATTTAAAATATTAAAAATGCCGATAAATCGCAGGTCCGGTCTAACAAAGAGTATTTCTGTTTTGTTTTCTCGTTTAAAATATATTTATTTACGAAATATATTTTTAAATATACATATGTACCTATTTCTACATTTTCTTATATACAGGGTGTTTGTTGGTAAGTGTGAATGATTTTAGGCAATGTTTGCCGAAGTTATTTTATAAAAAAACATAGATCGAAAAAGTCAGTGGCGCAGTACTTTTTTATTAAAAAAGTGGCATTCTCGCACAAACGCCACTGGTACAAGTAGAAATATTTGGAACACCCCAAAAAATACACATTTGCCCCTTCAAAGTTTTTTTGCAAATTTAGAGTAAATATCTTTAAAACTATTAAAAATAATTAATAAAATTTAATAAATTAAAATTTAAACATTCTGTATCTCGGAAACGAAGCATATTTCGACCTAATTTTATAGGAACTTTTTTTAACAAAATAACTTTGATAACAATTTGCAAAAATCGTCCGTACTTATTTACAAATACCCTGTATAAAAATACGTTTTTTAAATAATAACCCATTTGATACTAGTTTGTGCAACAACAGTGGACAATCCACTGAAGTTGTACAGTATGTTTTTTTCTACGACCCACTAACGAAAATCTACAAATTTAAAGTATTATTTTAGGAAAAGGCAAAATAATTAATTTTAAAATAATTTATGACTACTAATTTGTGAAATAAAATAAACATGAAAAAATATTTCATTTAATTAGTCCCCAGCCCATATTTGAACTCGGGCCTCTCGCGTGAAAGACAGATGCCGTATCATCATTTTCACCTCCACATTTAAAATTTTAGTTCTAAAAGGAGTAATTAAATTAGTTTCATATAGGTAGTTTAATTCAAATTTAGGATTTTTTAAATTGTGGTCTAAATTAAAATTATTTATGAATCCTACGCAAAAATAACTTATTTTAATGTATATTTAATCTCAATTCCTAAAACGTATACTGACAATTAGTTTGACAGAATCGTCACTTATTTAAAATTTTAAAAATAATAGTTGTTGGGTGTCCAATATATAAACTGTGTTCTCACTACCCAGAATGGATATGAAATATATTCGTTGAGTTGAACGCAATAGTATATTTTTTCGTTTTGTAGTCTGTGCGTGAATAGTAGTTTGTGCAACAAAATTGGATATGATGGCCATATCGCACGAAGACGAAGTTTAAGAACGACGCCGTATACGGAGTGCTTAATCGTCTGAGTGCGATACAGACAATCCACTCGAGTTGTACAGTATATTTCTACAAATTTCAAAAAGTATTTTATTAAGACAAAATAAATAATTTTAAAATAATGTATGACTTTTACTAATTTATAAAATAAAATAAACGTACAAAAAGATTTAATTTAATTAGTCCCCAGCCCTGATTGGAACTCGGGTCTCTCGCTTGGAGACAAACTCCGTGCCCTCGCCACACTTGCCATTATAGTTCTTATACTTGTAATTAAATTAGTTTTATATGGTTTGATTAAAATTTAAGATTTGTTTATAAATTTGGACGAAATAAAAATAGAAATTCTATTACTTATCGTACGAAGGCGTAGAAGGGCCACATATTAAAAAAAAAAAAAATTTTCGACTTTAAAGTCGAAATTCCGACTTCAAACTCGAAATTTCGACTTTAATCTCGAAATTTCGACTTTAAACTCGAAATTTCGACTTTAATCTCGAAATTTTGACTTTATTCTCGAAATTTCGACTTTAATCTCGAAATTTCGACTTTAAACTCGAAATTTCGACTTTAATCTCGAAATTTCGACTTTAAACTCGAAATTTCGACTTTAATCTCGAAATTAGGTTGAAATTCCCATTTTAAAAGGTTAAATCAATCATTAGTTCAGGTTGCTTCAGTAGAGTTTAGAATATATTACAGATTGCAGCTAGTGTATTGTTTAGAAAAATGGATAACGAGGTGCAGGTAAGCATTTACAATAAATATATTTTACGGTACGTTATATTATAATGTAATATTTTTTAGAACAAAAGTGTAAAGGAACTAGTCCAGGAATATTTTTCATTGGGATTTGAACAAAAAGAAATACTAGCTTATTTAAATTTATTGCATAACATTAAAATGTCCCATCGTTCATTAAAAAGAATGTTATCCAAACTTGAATTATACCGTAGAAAGAAATATTCTAAATTAGAAGATGTTGCGAAGTATATAGAAAAAGAATTACAACAAGCCTCTCAACTACATGGATATCGATGGTTTCATTTAAAATGTTTGCAGAACAATTTAGTTGTTACACAAGACACCGTACGGGAATTGCTTTTATATTTAGATCCAAAAGGTGTTGAAATGAGGAAAAGAAAACGCCTACGTCGCAGACAGTATCACAACAAAGGGCCTAACTATTTATGGCACATGGACTCCTATGATAAGCTTAAACCGTATGGTATATGTATTAATGGATGCATCGATGGATTTTCTCGCCAAATTATTTGGCTTCGAGCAGGTTCAACAGCTAGTGATCCAAAAGTAAGTAATACATTATTTAGACTTGTGGTACCGGTAGTACAGAGCACATAGCGATGGTTACTATTATATGCGTACATACAATGCCGCCGTAAATTGTGCCCCCCTCTCTTAACTGCTAAATGGAAGTAGATATAGATAGAGACATGAAACATAAACAAGATGAAATTAGAGAGATGTTATGATATTTTTGTTATAACGAGATACACTTTACAAACTTCAAATTTTCTAATTGAAAGTAGGGTCATGTGATACCTCATTTGAAAGATATTTTCATTATCTTTATGTCAATGCAGTTTTAGGATTTTTTTTATGTTTTTATAGAAGTTACATATTCTTGATAACTCTCGTATTTACTATTAGTGTTTATTACTAATAATAATAATAATAATAATAATAATAATAGTAATAATAATAATATTAAGAAAACTCTTTTTACAAATTAAAGAATCTTCAAAATATTATATACATAGGATAATTTTTTTTTGCTTGTTTATTAAACGTGTTCCTGAATATTTGTTTCTGAAGGTTCCTTATTGATTACCATAATGTTTAAGGTAATTCTATTGTTATTTGTTTCCATAAACAGGTTTTGGTAACTAGCAAACAAAATATTCCGCAATCTTTCGTTAGTATGGATATAGCTTTATAAAGTTACTTACCTACTAATAATTCAATTTATACTTTTTTAAAACTGTAATTAGCTATTTCGTGACTTGCGTTGTAATAATCAGAATTTGATGTATAGGCACGTGGCGTACTTTTACTTTTAGGTTAAATGAAAATTGAAATGCACAAGTTACTTTATAATATGTAACTCCTCTACCATTATTATAATGTTTACAGTTGATAATTACTCAGATTATTTTTTTCATCTGTCAAAATAGTAAAATTTTGAGATTTTACCCAATAAGAGCTCGGGATCCTAACAATCATTGAGTTTTATACTGATTAAACCGCCTCTTCGTTTTTGTTTTTTGATAAAACTGTATTTACCTGTTGAACTGTCAACTATAAACAATTCTAATATCTTTTATTAAACTAAAATATACTTCAAATCTATGTTAATACCCAAATATATTATTAATTTTAACGCTTTTAGATTATCTACTCCAAATATGTTTATTGTCTTTTTTTCATACAAAATGATTCAAAAAATAATCTTGTCAAATACCACATGTCCTTCTAAATTTTTTTATAATAAATTTTGAGTTTCCATACTCAAAATATCTTTATTTAAGGCAAAACTGCTTAAACAAATCGATTTAAGATAAAATCGATAAAATTTGGAGGACATATTTTATATTTTAATTTATTATTGGTGAGTTTCTATCATAATATCCAGTTTAATTAATTGAATGACACTATATTTTCCGGAAGCTACTTTTATTTTCATTTTATCTATACAATCAGCAAAGTTCAAGAAGACTATAATTTATAATAAGTTTTTCTTGTAACTGTTACGACAACAGAGGTTTCGATCGTTACTAGAGATTTGTCATATCGACAGCATTCAGTTCATTCGATATTTAC